AGAAAGCTTAATATATATAACTTATATATTTTATCTATAAATAGATCTTGTCTATTAATAGAAATATTAGAACTATAGATTTAAATAGCTCTATCTACTTAAGAGGAATTTTCTTCCGGACTATTGAAAGTCAAGTCATGTGACCTTTACTCTTCTTTCTTCTTACTCTTCCCTTTCTTAGATACTTAGTCTAGCATAGTAATTAATCCCTATCTCCTTTTATTATCTTCTCTTATAGATCTATATCCTATTATGATTATAATGGTGATATCTTATTCTCTCTCCATTTTTTATTTTGTCCTACTTTGTCTACTATTTTTTAAGGGAGGTAATTAATCTCTTCTCTGGTTGTTTATTTTTTATAGTAGTAAAATTATAACTATTTGATTCTTTATATTAAGTCTTTGAGAACTAATAGATATACTATATCGAATATTACTATTTTTAGAATATATTTAGAAATAGAATAAATAAATAAGTATAAAAGAGTTAAACTCTAATTTAATTTTTATCTAGTGAGTATCGTAATCTTTCTATTCCTCTTTTATTCGAGGTTTAATATTTTCCTTCTTTTTTTAGATTAAGGTATAAGGCTAAGTACTAATATAATAAATACTCTAAAATACTTAGTTATTAATTTTTTATGAAGGAAGAAATTCTATTACTTAACAAACTATATAGATAAAGAAAAATTATAGAGACTTTTTTTTTCTATATGAGAATACTTACTAATAAAATACTATTTAGTTCCAAAAGCTAGTATAGAGATTGAAATATTACTTCTAAGGCTTAAATAGCTTTTTTTTTAACTACAGAGATATCTATAGATATATATAACTATATAAATATATTATATAATTTAATAATAATCAAATTATTCTAGATTCAGACTAAAATATACTTTAGTTTAGTTCCTAAATTTAAAAATGACCTTCTAAATTCCTGTTCATTTTACTTTCAAACTTAAGGTATAAATACTACTATCTCTATCCTCTATATAGTTAAGTTTTATAATAAAATTAAACTATATAACTTAATCTAAGTAATATAGGAAACTCCTTTTTCTGTATATTTTCGGGATTCTTTAACCCTATATTATCTAATAACTCTATTATATCTAATAAAGACTTCTATATCTAAACTTTAAGATACTAGCTCATAAAGAACAGCAATAGAAATAATAAGAAGAGGAAAGCCTAATTAAAACCATCAAAACTATTTTAGATATAAAATATTAGACAATATATATAACTAGCTAGATAATATTTGCTTTCGATATAAAAATAAAGTTATCCGTAAAGAGGTATCTAAAAAGGTTGAAATAATGTATACTATTAAATAAACTATAATATTTGAATCTAATGAGGAATCTCCTTATAGAAAAATTATAGAATTATCCGAAGTATAGATAACCCTATTTTATTTTTTCGGTTTAGAGGGTAAAATAAAGTTTATCTAAAACTAGGAATAAGCCTAATGTAAATTCTTTTATAATTTTAAGAATAGTCTTTTTTAAATAAATTATTCGATCTATTTATAAATAATATATAATAACTATAATGGTTATCTAGTTGAAAAAAAAGTAAAATTGTTAAATAGAAACTTACCCCTAGATATAAGTATTATCTATTTTTGGGTTTCGGATAATACTATATATATATCTAATAATAGATCTAATTTTTTCTCTAAGTGGGATAATTCTTTTTAATAATCCTGAGATATTAGATAAGCTAGGCTCTATAATATAGAAATTCTTCTAAACTTTTTTTTTTCTCTATATAACTACTCATAAGCTCCGATATTCACTCTTCTTTTTATATTAAAGTTAAGAGAATATTAAAAAGCTTATTAGAAATTATTTTTGTCTAATATAATTATTATGAATACTTGGTCTAGTGACTATATTTCCCTATCTAGGTAGATAGCTTACTCTCTCCTCTTTATTATTTCTTTTACTATATATCTGAATAGATATCTATCTCTTCTCTTTAGTTTCTTTTTTTAATTAATATCTATCTCATCAGTAATATATTAAAAATCCTAGAGTTATATATGTTGAGAGATTATATACCTCTATATAGATAGATCTGCTACTCTCTCCCCTATTAGGTGAATAAATCTTTCCTCTTCACTCTACAATAATACTTTATTAAGATAAAATAATAAGAGTATATTTTATTTAGTCTTAGGTAAATAAGGGAACCGAAAGGATAGCAATTAAGCTAGAAAAATCTATTTTACTTGGCTACTTAGTATAAATATTAAGGTCATATACCTATATATTATTCACCGTAATATCTATATATATTCCTAAAGCTACTTTAATTTATAAATATTAGAAATTGAGATATAAAGCACCCTATAAGCCCTCTAATTATGTTCTTACTTATCAGAGGTTACACCAAGAAACCAAATATAGTCAATACTTAATTTATTTAATCTCGATTCATCACACTATAGGATAACTTTATTCCCATTTTCTATAAAGTATTCTATTACTTCACTATCATTATCAATAAAGAAGATATTACTATACTCTTTTCTTAAATTTCTAAGAAAGTATATAAGATATACTATAAATTAAAGCTAGAATAGTGGCTAAAATATATACCCTATAGAATAAAAATAGATATACACTATTAGTACTGATTCCTAATAACATATTTTAAAAAACTAACATTAGGACTCATTTAAGCAAAATACATTGCTCTTACCTTAATCTTTTATTATTTTAATCCCTAATAAATAAACTCTATAATTGAAATGGATACTATTAGGTAGACTTTCGAAACAATAGAGATTTATAGGATAGTTTATTCTTTTACCGAAGCTTAAAAATTTCAAATCCTAAACCTATATTAAATAGAGTATAAGAGGATCACTATTTTTAAAATAATCGACTATACCAAAACCCTTATTTACCCTAATAAAATTATCAACCTTTATCAGTATAACCCCTATATATTTAACTCTAGATATAGAATCCACTAAATAAGGTTAACTATTTATGTTCACCAGTTTAACTCTAAGGGGTTTAAGACTAACCTGGAAAATAGAGCTTAGATAAGATTTGTGAGATTATCTATTATAGACTAAGTAATATAAGTTATATCTATAGATCTATTACGCTAGTAATAAAACAAGATCTTGGGATCTAATCTCTTTTAAAGCATCAGGGATTTACAATAATATACAAATAAAGAATAATATCTTATATTATATAATACTTAAAGATCTACTTCCCAAAAGCGATATTCTAACTATCTATTCCGTAATAATATCATATATCAAACAGTTCCCAATTATTAATAATGTAATACTTATAGCTATTTTCTTATATCAGGAATATATATAAGTAAAGAATCTTTCCAAGATTCTAAGTCAAGCTTCACATAGGCGACTACTAACCTCGATATATTTAATATATACTTAATTTATAATGCTAAGTCTATTAGTTTATATAGGGGTATTAATATAGGGGCTCCTAGATAGAATAATATACAGATCTATATACTATAGATAGCTGGGATAATCAAGGGAAAAACCTATTTTTAATATTATAAATATTTAAAGAGACAAAGAATAGGCCTTTAAAAATATAATTATAACTAATAAATATATTTTTAAAACCTCCTTACTTATATAAAAAGAAATACTTTGATAGACTAAGTTTAGCTTATAATATTATGATTAATAAAAGCTTTGAGTATATATTATTAAGATATTTGAAAAGAGATAAACTTAGAATTATAACCAGTTTATAGTAGAATCTATTTAAGTTATATCTATATAATATAATAATGAAAAAAGCTTATTAAAGTCAATATTTAAGATTAATATATAAGATAAGTAGGCTCGTGGGGTCGTGGGGTGAATGAGTTGTGGGGTGAATGGGTCTGGTAGCTACTAGTAATTACTAGTAGCAAATAAGGTTTTGAATTAGGGTATGGTACATTCGCTTAACCTCGTGGGGTTATGGGGTCAACGCACTAATAAATAGTGGTAAGAAAAAAATAATTCAATTAATAATCCCACTAACTACTATCTCTTACCAATTCATTAGATTCACCCCATAACCCCACCACTAATTTGTACTAAAATTGTATGTATCTTTTCTGAAAAGGGATAGGGTTTAGGGTTATCTATTAGGGCTTAGGGCTATATCTTAGAGATTAGGGCTATATTTATTAGGACTATTTATTTTTTACCACTATTTACCACTATTTACTACTAAAATTAGTTAGTGAAAAGTGGTAAATTTTAGTAGTAAATAGTGGTAATTAGCGATAATTCTTTTTTTATACAAAGGTACTTCTAACAAAAAAGAAAGTGTGGAAAGAGAGACATAACTAGTTTATATAATATTAATTATACTAATAATTACTAATATATTAATTCTTTAATATTTCTTAAATTAACTATCTATTAAAGATAGATTATATTAATAGCTACTAGTAATTACCAATCAGAAAACTATCGATTTTTATCGAATATAGTCTTAAGAAACATTCCGGAAAACACTAGATTTGGTAAATATTTTCTTTAATATTTTGGTCTATTAGTAATTACCAGTTAGAAAACTATCGATTTTTATCGAATATAGTCTTAAGAAACATTCCAGAAAACACCAAACTTGGTGAATATTTTCCTTAATATTTTAGTCTACTAGTAATTACCAATCAGAAAGTTATCGATTTTTATCGAATATGGTCTTAAGAAACATTCCGGAAAATACCAGACTTAGTGAATATTTTCCTTAATATTTTAGTCTACTAGTAATTACTACTAGTCTATTAGTGATTACTAAATATTACTAGATATTTATAGTATATAAGAAAGTTTAACCCTCCTATTTTTTTAATTATTTCCTAATTTTCCCTAAGTAAATTAATCTGCAACAGTCTTAGTCCTCCTTTTTTTTAATATTTTCCTTTTTTCTTAATATTCCTGATTCTTTGTTATAGGATGCTTCTAGTAATTACCAGTAATTAGTAATTGTTTTAAGAAATGATTGAAAAGTAGATCAGAATCATATATACTATTAATTTAGTCATGTCGTATATAGTCAGATCTAGTGCGGAGCCAACTTTCAAATTGGCGGTAAGAACTAGTAATAATTAGTAATTAGCTTTGATAGTTTAGAAGAATAGATATTCACGGGCACCATTTATATTGGAAAGAAAACTGGCATTCGTTGATATTTTCATCTCTGTTGAGATATATAGAATAAGGGCTATTAGTAGTTAGTAGTAGTTTATAGTAATAGTAATTAGTTATAATTTACTTACTTCACTGGTAGTTTGCCCTTTTATTCTTCTTCCTGTGGAGTGTTATCCATGTTTTCAATGACTTAATTGTAGTTGTATTATCTTCGAAATTATCCAGATTAGAGGGAGAATCCGAAAGCTCTCCATCGCTATTACTAGTTATTACTAGTAGCTCCTAGTCATTTAGGATAAGTTCTTCAATTGCTTCTTCGAAGGTATCTTCTTCGATCAATTCTCTAGACGCTTCTTTAATCTCTATAGGGACCTGTTGTTGAGGACTCTTTGTGGGGATTCCTTTTGTAGTTTATGTGTAAGATTTACTAGTAGCTACTGGTAGATATTGGTTATTACCTAAAGAAGATCGCTTTGAAGATTCTAAAGAAGATCACTTCGAAGATTCTAGAGAAGATTGCTTCGAAGATTCTAGAGAAGATCGCTTCGGAGATTCTAGAGAAGGTCGCTTCGAAGATTCCAGACTTTCCGTGCTTATAGTCCGCTTTCTTTTAGCAATCCCATAGATAGACTTATTACCAAGTTTAGGTAATGGTACATCATCTTTAGTCGAACTATTGATAGACTAATTGGATATAACTATACGTTGCTGGTTATTACCAGTAAGCCTTTTGACAGATTTAGCCTTTTCACTAGGTTTAACGGATTTGGTCTTTATACTGGGTTTAGTAGATTTAGTCTTTGCACTGGGTTTAGTAGATTTAGCCTTTTCACTAAGTTTAACAGCTTACTATTAGTTATTACCAGTAACATTATCCGTAGCTTCATCGTTATTAGAATTAGAATCTTTAAATTTATATAGACCGCTAGTAAAGACTTATTAGTAGTAATTACTAATAGATATTAATAGTATTTATAGAATATTCTTATCTTTAATTATTTAGTTATTAATAATCTAAAGACTATAAAAGTCTTCCTTTTTCTAGTAAATATTAGTAAAAACTAGTAATATCTATAAAATAGTAACCTTACCATATACAATAATATAATTTGCTTTCTAAGAACCCCTCTATAAGCCTTAACTGATTATCCTTTATTTTTTTATTTATCCCTAGTAATAACTATTAGTTTCCAATAACTAATAGTAATAGATATTAAAATATTTACGGAGTATAGGAATAATAGGGATAACAACCAGCACAACGAGGAATAACCTATTAGAGATAATTAGTAATTACTGATCATAAATAATAATTAAAGAAAGACTTACGACTATTCCTGTATTATAGAATTATTTATATCAGAGATTATCTTTATACTCTTCATAATCACAAACTAATTTAATCCTATATTATATTAGTAGTCACTAGTAATTATTAGTAGAGAGTACTCACATATAGCTATTACTTATCAGTTTACCCAAGATTTCCTTAAGCCACTCCAACATAGCTATATTAGTTAGCATTAAAGTTTTAAACTTCTTACACCATTTCAAAAAGCACTCCTTCTAGTCTTTCTCGCTAAGAGTCATTATAGATAAGCAGTCACTAGTACAAAATAGTAGATACTGTAATCACTAAAATCCGTTAACAGACACTAGTAGCAACCGATAGTTATTAGTAAACACTAGTAGTCATTAGCAGACACTAGTAACAACCGGTAATCGTTAGCAGGCACTAGTAGCAACTGGTAGTCGTTAGCAGACACTAGTAGAAGCCAACAGATACTATAGTTACTAAGATCCGTTAGCAGGCACTAATAGTAACTAGTAGTTATTAGCAGGCACTAGTAGTAACCAGTAGTTGTTAGTAGACACTGGTAAAAGCCAGCAGATACTGTAGTCACTAAGATCTATTAGTAGACACTAGTAACAACTAATAGTTGTTAGCAAGTACTGGTAGCAACCAGTAGTTATTAGCAGACACTAGTAGTAACCAATAATCGTTAGTAGAAGGTTTAGTAAACTAGACTTAAAAAGAAAAGGCAGTCAGTTAATTAATATCTAAAGAAAGATAATCCAGAAAATTAAAGTAGTTTAATTAAATAAATACCAATATTTATTTACAGCTCAGATCGAAAACAAGCAAAGAAACCTATTCTATTATCTCTAAGAAATAAATACCAATATTCACTTATAGCTCAGATTATAAAAGAGTAAACAAAGAAGCCCATTCTGTTATCTCCAAGAAATAAATATTAGCAGTCACTTACAACTTAAATCTAGAGTAAGTAAAGAAGTCTACTTTATTATCTCTAAGAAATAAATACTAATAGTTACTTACAGCTCAGATCTAGAATAAGTAAAGAAATTTACTCTGTAATATTTCAGAAGTAAATACTAGTAGTCACTAGTCAATATAGTCAGAAATCAGGAAAGTTCATATATTAGAGATTTATCAAAAGCCTTAGAGTGAGAGAGAGAGAGAGAGAGAAGAGAAAGAAGAAAGAAGAGGAAAGAGATGATATTTATAGGAAAGAAGTAATTCGTAAAAAGAATTCGTAAAAATAATTTGTAAAGAATTCTTTACAAATTCTTTACGAATTCTTTGTGAATTCTTTTAATCTTTTACCTTCTACTTTCTACCTTCTATCTTTTATATCTTACAACTACTTTTTATCCATAATCTATTTCTTTCTCATAATCATCATCTTCTTCTTTACCAAATGGATACTGATGATAGCTCTGTATCACTAGGGGCTACTAGATCAAAACAAATCTCTCCAGTTCCCTGGGAGTAGAATCTATCTTTTACTCCAAATAACCAGTTAGATCTGATATCTGAGTAAAACCTTGACTTACCTAGATCTTCTAGTCCATCTCTTAAAGAATCCCTACCAACCAGTATTGATAGTTTTAACCAGTTAGTAGTCATTACTTGTTATCTCTCACCCGGATAAAAACTCTTTCCCCGCTACCACCGATCCACATCAATAACTAAGAATACTATACGCTATATATTATTTGTTAATGAGCTTCCTGAGTATTCTAAAACGGATCCTAAAAGATTTGGCTATGTGATTAGCTATCCTGAATTAGGAATAACCGGTAATTACTAGAATCCTGTGATCCAATATAGTAAAAATACTTAAGCGAATAAGAAATCTAAATATTATACCCAACGCTCTTATATATTACTTGGTGGTACTATGTGTCAATTACGAAACACAATCTGTTCTGGTCTACGTCATTACTAGTAGTTACCAGTATCGATCCGTAATAACTATCACCACCTTTATGTTACAGGAGAGATACTTCAGCAAGTTTCTATCCAACGTATAACTATCACCATATCTCACCAAGAGTATTTTAATTAGGAACAGGCTCAGGTGACTACTTGGTAATATTTCGAGAATTAAAAGCGGTAATATAATGTGTAATGCGTATTACAATGCTTTAGGAAGTATATAATTATCAAGTAGCTATATGGTTGGGTAAATTCAATTATTCACTACTAATTATAAGTTATTACTAATAATGATTAGAACGGAGCATCTATCCTTAGTTGCTTTGGATAGTCACTAAGGAACAAGACCAAACAACATTTCATCCATAAAATCTCTGCTAACTTAGATATCAATATTAAGTTACTTATAACTCTGGTTAATAGGGATAAACAGCTACCTGTACTTGCTAGTAGCGAATACGCGTTTCTTACGCCGTCCACTAGTCGAATAAAACAATACCGTAAGTATCTATACTTTTTGGTTATTACTAGGAATTAATAGTTATTATAGCTACTTATTGATCGTAAGGTGATCTTGTCTAGGCTAATTGTGACATTTGATTTACTACCATAATCCCTCTGGATTTAGTATAAACTCCCTATATAATCTTTACATCATAGGGGAAATATATTTATCCACCCCCACCCCTTACAAAAACCTTTGTTAAGATTCAAAACCAGATTAGAGTAATAATTTAACGTTACACAAGACTAAATATGTTAACTAGTAAGTTATTAGATTACTAGTAATTACTAGTAATTATAGAAAATAACTAATAATATTTTAGTACAATTTCTATAGTTACCGATTGTGAAAGATTTCTTGGCTGAAAGAGATCTATCATCCCTTACGGAATTGTATCTTTTATTACAAAATCATAATCTCATTAAATTCTAGATTGTGAAAGAAAAGATTATCATTAATAAATTCGATGTTGGTCTTCGAAGTAAGTATAATATTTTCAGAAATTACTAGTAATTACTAATAATTACTAAGAGCACTTTTTAAATATCTAATTAATCACCAAAACAAATCGGATAGTTATGTTCAAAAATTCTTTCAAAACAGCAAGAATCTTCGAATCATCTATATAACTACTAAACAAGTAGAATATCTTGTGAAAGTAAAGTATTTTGTCTACAACATAACGTTTAAACGTGTAGTAAAATCAATCCGTAAGATTATTCTAACTACTGAATGTGCTCTAATTAGGAAGAGTAACTACTATCTATTACCAGTTATTACTTATTACTAACAATTTTTTTAGATACAGTTCTTTATCGTGTTTTTGTGAATTCCGATTCTGCAGAATGTTATTACTAGACATTTACTGTAATTTTTAAGATTGCTGTATGTTTAGCAAAACAGCCGATCTGTTGGAAACACATTTATAATATTGGTATTAAGGCTGTGTTAGTAGATATATGTAATAAGCAAATAGTAGGTATATTTACTAATTATTACTAGTAATTACTTTAGATTACTAACAGATACTTTTAGATCTAAGTCGATTTCTTTATAATGCCGATACTGATCACTAATTTGGTGATTAGCGAGATTAGCTACTATATATAGTTATTATTTGTAAAGTTCACTTTTAACGATCTACTAAAAAATTCGAGAATTGGTCTGAGTATAGATTAATAGGCGATTTACCGAAGGTCACTACCAACAAAGCTAAACAACTACTTACTATTTGCAGTAAAAGTTCTAAACCGGTACTTGCGTGATAGGTGTAGCATAAAAAGTCCAAATGGATTCTTAGAGGGCTAAATTCGAATTTCTCAAAGATGTCTAAAACGCGGTATTAGTAATATTCCCAGACGACTAATAGCTATAAAGCTTTACACGCGAGTATCCATTATGTAATGGGGATTAATCTATCACTACGTGAAGTTATTATTAGATATAAATAATTACTGGGAATTATTGGTAATTACTGGTACTAAAATATTGATTCTAGTACTGAGCCCTTTAATCGGCATATATTTTTGGAAGTGGAAACTTATCTAGCTTTTAGCATACTGCCAACAACCTGCCATATGATATTAATCCTGAAACGACAACGCTAATATAAACTCTCCGGTATAGTATATTATTATTTATTATTCCTAATAGTTACTAATTATTACTAGACAATAATGATATTTCAATAGACGATTTACTTATCTCCCCACATTGTTGAAAGAGATTACACCGAAATCTATCTTAAAAGCTTCAAGAGCTTCAGGAAAGATCTCTAGAAGCAGATGGTAGTAAGTTATTACTAGTAATTACTAGTTACTAGTTATATGACTACTAATTCTATTCCTAGATTATTCTCTAACCGCTAAACACAGACCAAGACGGTTACCTAAAACCCCCCAAGCATCACAACAGCTTCTAGAAGGATCTTGAGAAACAGATAATAGTAAGTTATTACTAATAGTTATTGATCACTAATTATATAATCACTAACTCTATTCCTAGATCATTCTCCAACCGTTAGACGCGGATTAGGACGGCTACCTAAAACCCCCCAAGCATCACAATAGTTTCTGGAAGGATCTCGAGAAGCAGATGATAGTAAGTCATTACTAGTAGTTACTAATCACTAATTATATAATCACTAACTTAATATTCCCAAACCTTTATTCTCCAACCGCTAGATGCAAACCAGGACGTCTATCCAAAACCCCCCAAGCATCACAACAGTTTCTAGAAGAATCTCGAGAAGTAGATGATAGTAAGTCATTACTAGTAGTTACTAATCACTAATTATATAATCACTAACTCTATTCCTAGATCATTCTCCAACCGTTAGACGTGGACCAGGACGGCCACCTAAAACCCCCCAAGCATCACGATATCTTCTAGAAGGATCTCCAGAAGCAGATGATAGTAAATTATTACTATTAATCACTAGTTACCAATTATATAATCATTAATTCTATTCCTAGACCTTCATTCTCTAACTGCTAGACGTAAACCAAGACATCTATCCAAAACCCCCCAAACATTATAACAGCTTCTGGAAAAATCTCGAGAAGCAGATAATAGTAAGTTATTACTAGTAGTTACTAATCACTAATTATATAATCACTAACTCAATATTCCTAGATCTTCATTCTCCAACCGCTAAACGCAAACCAAGACGTCTATCCAAAACCCCTACCCTACATTTCGAAGAATCAGCGGAATCAGAAGCTCTATCTAATAGCACATATCATCAAACTCACAAAGAGTATTCTGAAGTCTCACCAAGAGGTAAATATTTCAATTTTCTTTTATTACTTATTACTGATAATTACTAGTTATTCCCACTTTCACTCAATACAACTCTGACACATCTACATTCTTAATTTCTAACATCTCACTAATCATCTCTACACTCGTCCCATCAGATAAATATAAATACTCAATTATAACTAATAGCTACTAGTTTTTACTAACAACTCCTAGTTGTTATCACAAATCCGCCACCCCCCCAACATCATACAGAGACTATCATTAATCTCACAAATTCACCTCAAACTTCATCATCTACAATTATTCCAACTACGCAAATAGAGTAGTATAAAAGGTGTACTATTCTATTCGGTAAGTACTTAATAAAATGATTATTAATACTAGTTATTATTAGTGGTTATTAATAATTACTAGATAATAGTTTTAATCTTAATTATCAAGAATCTCTTAACAACAGCGAATTTAACACTAAAACTCAAAGATTGAGAGAACAGTATGAGTAAAAGTATATTTAGCGAAAAGAACGATTTAACCAGAAAATAGCCGCTCTCAGAGAGCAAAGGAATTATTCTCATTAGTGATTTATATAGTCATATTTTTATTGTTAAATTAATGTGTGATAAAATGAATATAGATTATCAATAATCTTTTATTATTATTAGTAATTACTAGTAATCCTAACTAATTAGTTTTTTTGATAGATAAGAAGAATAAGGAGATTATAGTTCTATATTTTTATTTATTTACCTATATATACTGTGAGATATATATATAATTAAGAAATATTTAGAATAAAGTTCTTATTTATTATAAGATATTATTAGATAGTTTCTATTATACTAATAATATCTACTCTTTTCTAATATTAAACTTTATATTAAATAATTAAGGATTTATTTAAATATTAATAAAAATAATATAGTAAATTAATCTAGTTTACTAACTAGTAGTAATTAGTAATTACTATTAATCTTTAGTAGCTTTACTATTAATCTTTAATAGCTTTTTCAAATCTATTACTAATGATTACTGGTAATAAATCTACTATATTAGAAAATATCGACTCTCTGGATTTATTTATTCTCTATTTCCTAACCTTCTGACCGCCTAAAAATTCTTATTAGTAATTACTGGTAAAATTTCTACTTAAAAATATCGACTCTCTGGATCTATTTATTCTCTATTTCCGAACTTTCTAACCGTCTAAAAATTCTTGCTAGTAATTATTGGTAAAATTCCTACTTAAAAATATTGACTCTCTGGATCTATTTATTCTCTGTTTCCGAACCTTCTGACCGTCTAAAAATTCTTGCTAGTAATTACTGGTAAAATTTCTACTTAAAAATATTGACTCTCTGGATCTATTTATTCTCTGTTTCCCAACTTTCTGACCGCCTAAAAATTCTTGCTAGTAATTACTAGTAAAATTCCTACTTAAAAATATTGACTCTCTGGATCTATTTATTCTCTGTTTCCTAACCTTCTGACCGTCTAAAAATTCTTGCTAGTAACTACTGGTAAAATTCCTGTCTAAAAATGATGATTCTCTGGATCTATTTATTTTATCTTATTTAATATAATTTATTAATTTTATAATCTATTTATTTACTAGTAGTGACTAGTAAAGTAAATATTCATATATAGACTAGTTATGTCTGTCTTTCCACTTATTATTTTTTGCTAGAAGTACCTTTGTATAAAAAAAAAATTACCACTATTTACTACTATTTACTACTATTTACTACTGAAATTTACTACTTTTTACCAGCTGCTTTTAGTGGTAAATACTGGTAAATAGTGGTAAAAAATGAATAGCTTTAATGAATAAAGCCCTAAGCCCTAATACATAGCCCTAAGCCCTATCCATTTTCAGAAAAGGTACATACGATTTTAGTGCAAATAGGTTATGGGGTCATGGGGTCAATGTACTAAGGTGGTAAGAGATGGTAGTTAGTGGGATTATTAATTGAATTATTTTTTTCTTACCACTATTTACTAGTGCGTTGATCCCACGACCCCACGAGGTTAAGCGAAAGTACTATGCCCTAATTCAAAACCTTAAATTTTACTAGTAATTACTAGTAGCTACCAGAAAGATTGATCCCACGACCCATTCACCCCACGACCCCACGAGCCTACTTATCTTCCTATTCTCTTCCCTTATTTCTGAATAATAAACTATCGTTACTCTCTACCTAGGTATAGAGCTAATAGTTAAAAAACCTAAAAAGAAAATAGATAAAATAGAGTTTCTCCGGTGGTACTTTACTTAAGTTATTTTATAAGATTAGATGAATTAGACTATAAAATGGAAATAATATAGAAAATAAAGTATACCATATATAGATTTTTCTAATTTTTTCCTTCTTTATAATAACTATCTAGATATTTATTAAATCTAATATTTATCTATACTTTCCTATAGTAAGTTTTCTATTTAGAAAAGAAAAAAAAAAGAAAGAAAATATAATCCTTTTAAATATAATTTAATAATCTAAATATTTATTTTAATTATAGACTATTTTCAGAAATCTTATATATATAATATTACTTTTGATTAAACTAAATTTATAAAGAAATAACTTATTATACCTTAAAGAATTAAAAAAACCTATAAAAGAGGGAAAAACTAAAATAAGTGAGTGAGGGATGAATTTATAAATTTATAATTCTCGATCTATAGGATAGATAGTCTTATTAAGTATCTATATAGATTAGGTATTATAATATTATAAAATATTACCTAAATATCTAGATATCGATATAGATATATTTTACCTATCTCGAAATATATAAAATATATTATATTTTCTATATTCGATACTCTAGAATTCAACTTTAATATAATTAAATCTCTCTATATCTACTTAAATAAACCTCTCCTAAACCTTATTTTATTAAGGGATTATATATAGAAAGTTACTTTTACTAGTAATAAAGATTAATAGCCAATTAAATAATTTATTAAATAAACTGATTTTAATTTAAATACTTTTAAGATTTACTTTAGAGCTAACTTAGACTAATTAGTTACTAAGGTTAATTTCAAAGAGTTATATAAATCGGTAAATTACTAAAAAATATATAATAAATATAGTCTATCGGATCTTCTATATTATTATATTATAATACCTATATTAGTAATATTTAAAGGTAGCTTTTTAATATTAATCGGAAGAGTTCAGAAGTCTAGATTGTACTACTTTAACTAAGTCACTAGTATAGAGTAGATTAGAGTTAATAAACTAGTATCTAAAACTTTAGTAGTTAGTAATATAAAACTTAGCTGGAATTTTACAGTAGTTATTAATAAGGTTAAATACTTTTAGTATAGTAAATAAAATTTAATTAGATCTTTTAAATAAATCTAGTATTACTGTATAAATTTTAGATATTAATATAGTTTTATTATTAATAGAGATAAATTGATATTATTACGGATCTATTAGTAATTAAAATTAGTTCGAATATTATTTTAATCTTAACATACTTACTTAGAATATATATATAACCAATTATCGATTTCTACTATTATAGAATCTCTATTAGACCTTTCTCTTAATAGACTAGACTTTAATTCTAAGATTAGGTAAATAGAATATATTAAAATTCCTTAGAAAAGAACTAATAGTTTTACTATTAAGTTTATAATTTAGTATATGGTATATTTAGTTTAAGAGGATAGTAATAAGATCTTAGAGGTATATCTACCTTTAGGATCTAAGTAGTAATCTAGCTATAGCTAAGTAAGTTATTTCTAAGTGCACTATACTCCAACAAAAGAAATTAGCTATTTAATATAGTAGAAGAGGTTGTATAGATCTTTTGTTTAATATAGTTTAGGGGTTATCTCGACTATTTATAATTGTTAAGGTATAGATTGTAAAGTCTAGATTAGATTGTAAATTCCATATTTATTAAAATCTAAAATATATTTTCTTACTTTATTTACTATTTAAAGGAGTAGTTTATTTAACTAAGTGTATCTGTCTAGGTATCTATTAAGATTATCTATAGGATAATTAGATCCTGAGTTATGATAGTAGTTTTTAGCTGTCTCTTTATTCTTTAGTCTAGTTTTCCTCTCTTCTATTTAGAAAATTAAGTTAATCAACTTTCTCTCTATCTTTCCTTAGCTAAGCCTATAGCTTATCCAACACTATTATATAGATTATAAAGGTTTTGAATATAATAGATAAATAAGTAAGGGATAAGGGAATAGTACCTCTACTTTATATTAGATATATAGTCTCTATTTATATTATATATTAAGTATTCTATTTTTCTAGTTAGGACTAAGTAAGTAAACTACTTAGATACACCTTATATACTATTAAAAGTCTATATTCTTAGGTATTAGAGGACTAAAATTATTAGTAATAAGTAGATTAAGTATTAATAATATTATTTATTTATTCAAAAGCCCTATTATCTTAATAAAGAGAATTTATAAAGAGTAAAGCTATTAATAGTAAGTCTTATCTTTATTTATAATATAGACTCTAAGAACTAAATAAAAAGGTTCTATAGCTATAATATTATTAAGACTAAAAAGACTTAGTATAGTCTTTAGGGGCTATTTATAAAGATTATATAATGATATAAGGAGTATATCTAAAAAGAAATAAAGAGATATTATATTTTATATACTCTATAACCTTATAAATAAAAAGCTTTATATAACGCAAAGTTTAAAAACTTAGAAAATATCTATACTTTCTTCTCCTATCTATATACTATCATAAAATCTAAGGTCTCTATATTCTTCACTAACCTAATAACTCTCTTTTAATTCACTAAACTTATATAATAGATAAAGAAAGTATTTAGACTAATCTCTTTTTTTTGGGAAACTATCTAAATATTCTGGAAAAAAATAAACTTCCTATTAAAAGATTCTAACCCTTTTTCTTTAAAGATCTAGATTAGAATATTAGTCCTTAGATTAATATATTTAGGAAACTAGATATAAACTATATATAGATTTTTTAAATATAGATTAAAAGTTATAGAGAATATATTACTAAAGTTATAAATAGAAGTATCACTTATAGAAAAGTATAATTATTCTTAATTAACTACTAACTAGTTTTCTAATTATTCGAAATAAAAT